GGGAATGTGTCATATACACAACAATAGCGCATAGCTTAGGTTATTATAGATAACACCGTAAGTTCGGGTAAGTTGAGATCCACAAACATCAACAATCTTCGAAAGCTAAAATACGGGTAATCTCTCTGGCCTTTCTAAATCAAAGAAGAATCTGTATCAACGTATTAATGTGTTAGTTTCCTATAAAAAGCACATCGGACTACGTTATGACTAGCATTTTGTCAAAACCAATCATCGAGAAAGGTTAAATTAGGCAAAATTGCTAAACAATGATATAGATATATAGATATCTGTGTTTACAGTTTTGTACATAGGACCACTACGGCCAGTGTCTCTCTACTACTGATCGTTGCCGCTTATCACGAATGTTCAGGGCGATTTTTTGAGCTGAACATAGCGAGACACGATGTAAATCGGTCGTTTCGGAAGCAGTTCGCTCGACATTCGGCTCGTAGATTCGGCGCTTCATGCGAGAACATCTCATGACAGAGTAGACATATTTGATCCATAACATGATGAACTGGAGGGGAGCGATGAACCTGAAGTATATCGATGAGTGTTATTGTAAAACTAGTATTATTGAAGTTAATTTTACATTTCAAGGCTTGCTCGTCTACCCACAAGAGGATGGGAATCCCAAAAAAGTAGCAGATTAGAGTTCGCTCAATTTTCTTATTCTAGAGATTTTTTCATCCATCTTACGTGCCTACATTTTTTTATAACAGCTGATAGGTCGCTTATTAGATTGGTGAGCTAGCTAAAGTGAGTCAAATCTAACATAAGACCAAATCCAACTCTTGATTGTATTGGTGGGAGCCTTTCCCACTCCTACCTGCTCTCATTTCTAATCATTTTGAGTTTATCGCCACTCAAGCTACGCTGTCGTTTTCTTTATGCTAAAAATTCTTGATGTCGTGCAAAAAAAGCAGATTTTCCGAGTAATTTTTGGCATACTGTTAACTTGAAAAAATAAATAATAGCTTTTTTTCGATTTTTTGAAAAGACATT